TCCCACCCTTTCTCTTCCACACAAACAACTCTTGCCAAGAAACCCATCTTTGTGTTGCTATATTCAGTGATGTTATCTTGTGTCCTTATCTTACAAGACCTTGACCTGTTGATGGTATACTAGTGCTCATTGCCTCACTCTTTAATTTTTTTTCTTCTCACTTTTGCTCCCTTTCAAATGTTTCTCTCTTGATTTTCTTCCTTTTACACTGACTGGTCCCCCTTAATTTCCTAGGTTGGCTTTTCCTCTTCAACTCAACCTTCAGCTTTCAATAGAAGGACCTCAGAGCTAGGTCCTGGACCTCCTTCTCTATTTACACCTTTCCTCAAACGATCCCATTCATTTCCATGTTGTTGTTGTTTGGTGTTGCTGGGGATGGAACCCATGGCCCCCCACATACCTGCTAGGCAAGCACTCTACCACAGAGCCATGCCTGCAGTCTCTCCATTTAATACCAATGGTTTCCTGAAGAAAATAGTTATACCTCCTAAAAAGTCTTTTCTTAATTCTGGCCTTACATTAAATTGTCTATTTAACATTTCTACTCAAATGTCTTCAAACTGTCTTAAATTTTATATGTCCAAAATAGAACTCTGAATTTCCTGCATCTGTCCCATCTAACTAAGTGACAAACCATCTTTCCAACTGTCCAAGTCAGAAATGAGGCCGGGCGTGGGGGCACACACCTGTAATTCAAGCAGCTCCGGAGGCTGAGACAGGAGAATCACACATTTAAAGCCAGCCTCAGCAATGGCGGGACACTAAGCAACTCCGTGAAACCCTGTCTCTAAATAAAATGCAAAATAGGGCTGGGGATGTGGCTCAGTGGTTGAGTGCCCCTGAGTTAAATCCCTGGTACCCAGGAAAAAAAAAAAAAAAGAAATGAGAATTGACTCAGGATTCATATTTTCTCCTTAGTCCACATCCAATCTCAAACCAGGTCCTTATAGTTTTACTTTTCCATTCCATGCCCCAATTGATTTGGAATCCATCTATTTTCCTTCATGCCATCATTCTCAGTCCAGATCACCATCTTCTTTCTCCTGGACAATAGCAATAGCTTCCTAACTAGTGACCCCACTCCTATCTTTCAGGGTTTTTTTTTTCCCCCTCAATATTGGTCACTGAACCAGTTCCTTGTATACTTCTATCTTTTTTTTTAAGTATTTTTTGTAGCTATAGATGGAAAGCATGCTTATTTCATTTGTTTATTTTTATGTGGTGCTAAGGATTGAGCCCAGTGCCTCACACGTGCAAGGCAAGCGCTCTGCCACTTAGCCACAGTCCCAGTCCCACTTCTATCTTTTGATGCCTCTAATCTCACAATACAAATATTCTTACAATCCAAATCATTTTGTTTTCAGTTTAAAGAATAGCCAAAGACCTCTCATTACCCTGAGAATAAATCCCAGATTCCTCATTCTGACCTGCAAAGCAAGTATAATCCCTGTCTTTCCAGTGTTGTTTATTATTCTGTATAGTCTTGGACCATCTCTGTTTTGCTTATTAAACTCTAGCATTTGTGATATTTATTCTCTGCATTCACAAAGCTCTTTTCTGCTACAGGCTTTTACATGTTACTCTATTTTTTTGGAAAGCTTTCCCCCTGCAACATTTTACATGTTCAACTCTTGTTCCTAAGATAATAGGATAATACATTATCACTTCTTCAGAGAGATCTCCAATGATCATCCTGTTACTTCTTCTTTCTGTTTTATCTTTGTTTTTTCTTCAAAAACTTTTTAAAAATGCTGCTTATTAGGTGTCAGATACTATTCTATTCATAATAGTAGGTTATATTATTATCCCCCTTTTAAGTATGAAAGAACTGAGAAACATATAGCAAGTATGTGTCAAAGTTGGATTTGAATCAAGTAGACTGGCTTGTCTTCTTAACCACTGTGTTCATCCTGCCTGCTAATGTCACAATTTAGAATTATCCCAGTAATTAATGTTTTTGGTGGTGGTTGTTGTTTGCTTTTTTTTTTTTTCTTGTCCCTTTCAGAACATAAGCACTTCAACATAAGGAACTATTGACAACCATTATTGGTCATTGATTTCACAGTGCCTACTATTGTATGTTGTTCACAGTAGGTGTTTAATAAACATCTTTTAAATGAGTGAATGAATGAGTGATAGCAAAAGAAACAATATCCATGCTGACAAAGTTGGTGAGAGATTGGTTAGAGGACTATGGTACAAAATACAATTTCCCCCTAAATATTTGTAAAAAGAAAGTTTCAGAATAATTGGAGACTGCTAAGATAAGAAAGTATAGGAAACCCTGCTTCTAGGAATAGTTTAAGAAATTATTTTCTGCTGGACTCAGAGGTGCATGACTGTAATCTGAGTGACCCAGAAACCTGAGGTAGGAGGATTGCAAGTCTGAGGCGCCTCAGTGGTTTAGCAAGACTCTGAGCAACTGAGTTTCAAAAAACAAACAAACAAACAAATAAATAAAATAAAATAAAAATAAAAGATTCAAGGATGTAACTCATTGGTAAATAATGTTGTGTTCAATCCCAGTACCAAACCAAACCAAACAAAAAAACCCAAAGCAAAACCCAAATTATTTTCCATGTACCTGTCATTGATTTATAACTCATTGACACACACCCACAAGTATTCAGACATATATGAAAAAAGAGGGAATTGTAACTTGAAGTACTGGAAGAATTGTGTATAAGAAATTCTTCAAGTTAAATATCAACATATAAAGGACTGAAGTTGAACTAAGCAAAATCTTGAAGTGTTAAAATAGTATGCAGGCTTGAATAAAGTTAACAAAAGTGTATCAATGAGGGAAATGGGGGCAGGATAGAGCATAGGGAGTGGGCAGCAATGGAAACTTAGAACAAGAAAAGCCACAGAGGCAAACTCCATTTAGTTCTATCCCATAATACTCTATGTATTATGATTTCTTTGGAAGAGCTCTGCTTAGTTTGTGGAGTGAGGACCATTCAGGGACACAACACAAAAATCCCCACAGTTGTGAGTTTCATCTCTTTTGCAGCTCATGATCATTCATCAGTGTGACAAAGGACAGGTGCAACAGGGGCACACATGAGGGGCTTTTCATTTGGAGGGTGAGGCTTGGGAAGCATAAGTGTAATAATGGGATTATTATTATCCCAGCTCCTCTTTGATGTTGGAATTCATGGTGGCTGCACAGTTTCCCCTTTATTTATCTCAGATAATTGCAAGAGAATATTTTGATTGTAAGCATTTAGAGGGAATCTTTTTTTTTTGGGGGGGGGGGGCGTCTGGTTTCTGAAGCAATGGAAATTAGCTCCAGAGAGCCTGTTACTGGAAGCTTTCTAAACGTTTTTCATTTTCTTTTCCTCCCACACCATCGATTGTCTTCTTTCCTATACCATATGCACAGTGTAGGGTTGGTTTCTGCTCTCTGGTTCAGACAATTCACGCGCTGAACACATCGTGGCCACTGAGAAACAATTTGGAATAGGTGCCTCTCAATAGGAGAGAGGGAAGGAACTGGTGAGACCCATTGGTCTATGGAACCCATAGCCTCCTATTTACACACAACTGTTCTTTGCTCTACTGCTCTTCCTTTCCTTCTTAATTGTTCTCTCTCCTCATTTCTTTCCCACCCTTTTCATCTCTTTACTTTTTTGTCCCTTTATGAAACTTCTTCATCACTTTCATATTAATGTTGTTATCTTACAAACACATACTATTTTGTTGCTAAGCTTGTATTAGAAATGAGTGAAGGTGAAGCCAACGTAATAATCCATTTTAGGGCTTTATCGCTTCAAAGAGTTGCCTGACTTGAAGCAAATCACCCAACCTTCCTGTGACTTTCTTTCACCACCTATACATTGGAGACAGTGGCTCCTACATCACAGAATCCTTGTAAGAACTGAAGAAATTTGATATAACAAACTCAGAAGAAGGCTTGGCGCATGATCTCATGAACTCTTTGCTCTTATATTTACAGTGTTTGTTGTAGGGTATTATAGATACCTTGTAAAGGGAGTTTCATGGACATTTCTTTCATTCTTTAATGAAATAGAGTAAGGTGCCTCGATGGAAGAACCATTGGGAGGAAATAGTGCCTAAAGGCTTATTTGGTACATGCATTATAATGGTATTTTCCAGAGTAGACAATGATCCTGTGATACACTGGACCAGAAAAGGTTGAAGGCAAGCAATCGTGTGTGTGTGTGTGTGTGTGTGTGTGTGTGTGTGTGTGTGTAGTGGGGATTGAACTCATTTTTTTTTTTTTTTTAAACCACCGAGTGCCATCCCCAGCCCTACTTTTTGAGACTGGATCTCCCCAGGTATCCCAGGCCGGCTTCAAACTTGTGATTCTCCTGCCTCAGCCTTCCCAGTTGCTGGGATTACAGGCAAGTGCCACCATGCCCAGCAAGGAAAACAATTTTAGGGAAGCCTGTCTTGAGGGGGGATGGTAAGGCTCTTTAGTGGCGAGTTTGGTTGACCCGGCAAGACTAGAGGGGGTGAGGCGCAGGGAGAAGAGGATGAAGGAGGGCAAGTGTCTTAGGGGCCACAGCTAGGAAGCTTTGGAAGCAGCATTTATTAGGATGTAGGAAGCTAGGAAAGGTTACTGTGAGCCAGAGGTCCCACGGGTCGGGAAGAAGGTTGCGTGGGGGACCCTGACCATGCTGATTTTGTTTGCGTTCCCTTGGAGAAGGCACCAATTCCAGGCAGTTTCCTGAGCTTTGCCCACATGGCAGCGAGATAGTTGGGGCGCCCACACCACCCTCGGGGGCTTCGAAGTTCAGGGGACAAGGCTCTGGAAGGTACTCCTGCTTCAGCAAAGCCGGGCCGGGCGCAAGCGCCGGGCTTTCCTAGCTTCCCGATGCCTCCCGGCCAGGTCGGCCTCCGTCTCGCGCGCCGGGCGGTGCAGCCAGTGGTGGCAGCCTGCGCGCCCGGCGGGAGGCGCCTCGGGACGTTTCCGTCTGGTCCTTCCCTCCTCCCCCCGCGCTGACTCCATCCGCTCCCCGCCCCCTGCCTGGAGCCGAGGGCAGGCGGGAAGGGCCCGAGACTGCATCATTCCGCACCGGCTGCTGCAGGGCCAGAGGGAGCAGGTGGAGCGAGCGAGCGAGCTTGGAGCCGGAGCGCGCTAGACCCAGGGGGAGACTGCAGTGACGCTGCCGGGAGACATGGCGGCCCCGCGCCTCTGAATAACGGGATCCGGAGCCCCTCGCCTTCCCCGGCCGCCGCAGCCCAGGCCATGCGGCACCGCTGCTGACCGCACGCAGGGGCTGGCCCAGAGGACACATGCCGCAGCAGCTGCCGCCTCGCCCCTGAGCCTCTCGCCTACATTCTCCATGTTGCATTTCTCGTCAATTTCTCGGGCAGTGTAGCTGCCTCGGCCAGCAGAGCCGTCAGGGTATTGCTTTGCTCATTCATCCAGGCACACTTTTTCTTTTCCATTTTTGCTTCCCCTCCCCATTTGCTTCTCCCGTTCCCCGCCTGTTTTGCACCCATCTCCCCGACCCGGTCACCCCCACCTGCCTCCATCCACCGGGGCTATGGCCGCAGAAGAGGTATTGCAGACGGTGGACCATTATAAGACCGAGATAGAGAGGCTGACCAAGGAGCTCACAGAGACGACCCACGAGAAGATCCAGGCTGCTGAGTACGGGCTGGTGGTACTGGAAGAGAAGCTGACCCTCAAACAGCAGTATGACGAGCTGGAGGCTGAGTACGACAGCCTCAAACAGGAGCTGGAGCAGCTGAAGGAGGTGAGTTGCCTGTCACCTCTTCCCTGCTCGGCCGCTCCCCCCACTCCCCTGGCCCACTCGTCATTTATAAAGAAGTCGGAAAGGATGCAATTGAAAGGACTTCATCTTAGAGTCCTTTGTTGACACGAAAAAAAAAATGGAAAGAGTCCATTGTTTTCCACCCCAAGAGAAAAATTGCCCAAGAAATGAATGTCTCAGCTGAAATTCTGGAGGCCCTGGCTGTTTAGCCTGTGGGGGAGGGACATTCACTGGAGTCCTCAAGTATTAGCTCTCTAAGGCCATACAGAACCGGGTTGGAATGGATAGATCAAACTTCTCAAAACTGTTATTTCAAACCCAGGTTTCAGTAACAATCCCACAATCCATACAGATGACCAGTATGTTTGTGCCTGAAGACCCACAGTTTCAAGATGTAGAATCAGTAGTACCTTAGCTTTTTGCTAAATGCAACTGCTTCCTAGTGAGGTAGGGAATTGTCATTGGGAGAACTGGCAATTCCATTTGACAAAGGCTGGGCAATCTTCATTCTCCTTGGCTTTGGTCATTCTTGTTACAGGGCTGTTAGAGCAAAACAACTTTGCTGGGTGATCTTGCTGCCTTGATTTCACCTCTGAGCCAGGCTGGGCCATGCCCAAGTCTTATGAGGTCACCCTGACCATGGGGAAATTGAATGGCCTTCAGATGGTCTGAAAAAATGGTATATATCAAATATGTGGGTAGCCCTGCATTTCAAATGAGGCTCTTCAGGTTAAAATGACCATATTTATAAAAGCAGAATACACAAATGGGCCATGTATACTGTTTGTTGTCTTTGGTCTTTGGCTTCTTTTAAAGACTGATGTATTGGAAGAAAATCATGAATGTGCTTTGATTTTCTATCAAGCACTTGTGAGAACATATATATTGTTTAAAGCACTCAGTCTCTTTTACCTGATTCTGTAGGCACTATGAGTAGCAAGTCACCAATTATAAATTTTAGTGTACATATGCACTGCTTTTCTGTATGTCAAGTCTTTATTTTTGGGTGCGTATTAGCATTTTAAATGTTATGCACATACCTTCAAAAATGTTTTTCTTATAATGTAAATTTATTTTAGGGGAGGGGAAGGCCTTATTTGTGTGTTTTTATAACTAAAAGACTTGATTTATGATGTATCTAATCAACCTGCCTTCTAATTTAGCACATAATATGGTAAGCATTTATACTTTCAGATAGCTTACTTTTATTCAGATAGTAAACAACCAAAAAATAGATGTGATAATATGGTTTAAAACCTCAACTAGAAATACAGTATTTGTGTATCAGGCTGTAAATTCATGGCTTATGTTTTTCTTGGTATATGCATGCCTATTCTTAACAACCACTGGACTTGTTTATATTTTCCAACTTAGATTAGTTGTTAGTCTGATGTGATGCTGAACCTTATGAAGTACGGGAACAGGACTATGACTGTGATTCTCAGAGATATTTTGATGTTGTCTTCACCTATCAACAGTGCTTTGCCAAGATGGAGAAGTGGAAACCAGACAGTATTAGGGCATCACCTTTGTGATAAAGGAGGTGGATTTATTTCATGACATGAAATATAACTGTTAGCTGACCTTCCTGCTTGATTCAAACAATCCTTCTAGGGATATTTCTGTGTCATTGAGCTTACTCTGCGTGGAAAATCTTAATGCAGTTGTCTTTTGCCTTTAATAGACCATGAGCTCTTAAGTCAGGGAACCTGCCATTTATTTATTTATTTATTTATTTATTCAAACTTGATGGACAACATTATATGTACTTATCATGCATGATGTGATGTTTTGAAGTATATATACACGATGAGATGGTTAAATCTAGCTAATTGACACATGCATTACCTCACATAGCAATCATTTTTGTGGTAACTCTTAACACCAATTCTCTGCACTTTCCAAGAAATATATCATCATTAACTATAATCACCATGCTGTATAATAGATCTTTTGAACTTAATCCTCCTATCTAACTGTAATTATGTCTTTTTTTGATCAGTGTCTCCCCAGTTTCCTTTCCCTCAATACCCCTAGCCTTTGGTGACTACCCTTCTACTCTCTACTTCTATGAGATTAACTTTTTTTTTTTATTATACATATGAATGAGATTATGGTATTCATCTCTCTGTGCCTGGATTATTTCATTTAATATAATGAACCTGAAGAAATCTATCTTAATGAACATCGCATCCAAAATCTTTAACCAAAGCTTAACTCATAGAGGGTATACAATAGATATTTTATAAAAAAATCAGTTTATACTGGAAGAAGATACCTTTTTCAAGTATTCACTAGTCCATATTGGTTAGTGTCAGAGAGAGACTAAGAAAAGTAGGAAGTGTAGGGAGTAACTACCTGTAACAGTGTCATCATCAGCAATGAGAAAATGGGAAAAAATTTCGTGGCAATAATATAACAGTGGCTGCTTATTGCAGAATAATACAAACACCAATTATATTTTTTTCTATAGAAATTTAAGGCAATTTAGTTCTGTATATCAGAAGGTTAAAAAAAATGATCAGGATTATTTTTACCAAATGGTATTTATTCATATATGTATTTTGAGTTACCTTTAGCATAAACAAAATACAATTTGTGGTTCCTAATGAATTGGCACAGTTATCTGAAAATGTATCTTAGGGTAATAAAGCAATCATTATATTTGGTTATAAAGTACATAAACTTATTTTTATCCTTTAAATAAGTTTATGTACTTTAGTTGGGAGCATTACTTCAGTGAGCTAAATCAGTCTCAAGTAATATTTTCTGTTTCTAAAGTCCATCCCAAATACTTGTGCAAACTGAGATATTCCAGCGATGATGTCACACGGAAGCCATTTTTTAAAAACATTTTGTGACTGCTCTGATTTCTCAGGAATATAGAGAAAACAGTATTGTTGCATTAAAACTAAAAAGCCAAGTATAAAAGGACTCTGGCTTATTTCTAGGTTCTTTCAGCAGAAATGATTCATTGAAAAATAACCGGAATAGTTTATGGGAAATATCAACAGAAACTAGTGCACTGAATTAATTTTGGACATTAGTAACTTGCAGTTTAGCATCATGACTTAGCTTTTGAAAATCATTTTGTTTTCTACAGTGAGTACCCAACAGTGTTGCCAACCTCCTTCCCAGACTAGGTAGTGCTGTGACAGTATTGCAGGGGAGAAATGTGGCCTGAAGGAAATAACAGAAAAAAAAATTCATTAATATTTTTCTAGTTATTTCTTCTCTCAGCCCAATTGCTTTTTAGTCTGGTCTGATATTGTTTAGGACTTTGCCTTGTGGTGAATTACAAGACTGCTACAGTTGTGTTCACAGAGGAACACAATTGAAGAAAAAGTACCAAGGATCTAAAAAAAAAAAAAAGAGAGAGAATGTCTGACATCATGATAATGTTCTCCATTTCCTTATACTTGCGGCAGCATCACGTTCACTAGAATACTTGACCATGGTTTTATGATTTCACAAATAGTGTTTGTTCTTCAGTGGTCACAGGGGCACACCTGCCTGGTTATGCTCAGGGCCTGGTTGATGATATGTTTGGGATATGTGCAAATCAGTGCTGTGTCTGTCTCCCAGGCCAAAACAGTGTTTGAAGAAGAGTCATGGTTCTAAAATAAGTAACACTATAAATATACATCCATAAAAGACTCCAAATTTTAAATTTGAAATTTTTCTTTTACTTCAGAATGGTCAAAATTGGAAATAAAAAAATTTAGCAAGATCCCCTAGAAAAGAGTGATTCAGCATCTACTGGTAGCATTTTAGAAGACATGTCGTGTGACAGTCTTAGGAGCGTTCTGCAGCTAGGCTACACTAGACAATATTCTAGGAATCTTCAACTCATTTTCTGCCTTGTTTTCTCAACCAGGGTAGGTACCAGCTGCTGAAGAAGTACTTTCTGGGCATTGAGCAGCTTTTCAGGGCCGTAGTTAAATTGTTCAAATATAAACATTTACTTCTGCAGTTTTAGAGATTGTTACATAGGGATCTGAGGAAAGTCATTTAAATTGCTTGTATTCCTCTTTAAACAGAATTAATTTTTATTTTTCACATGCTTAGAAAGATTGTTAGCTTCTTTTTATATCTGTACATTCTAAATCACAAAATCATATGGAGAAAAATTTCTCTGATTTCTTTTCCAATCTATGTGAATAAATGTGAAGAAAAAGTTAAGACTTAATTGATATATCTAAATTTTTATTTTAATTTCTCTTTTACTTACTTTATTTATTTACTTAGAAGTACTGGGTATTGAACCCAGGGGCACTTTCCCACTGAGCTACACCCCTAACTCTTTTTCAGATTTTCATTTTCTATTTTGAGACTTGGTCTTCTTAAGTTGCTGTGGCTGGTCTCCAACTTGTGATCCTCCTGCCTTAGCCTCCCTGAGTAGCTGGGGTCACAGGTGTGTGCCACCCACCTGGTTTTTTTCTCTTACTTTTTTTTTTTTTTTTGGTACTGAGGATTAAACCCAGGGGTGCTTTACCACTGAACTATGTCCCTGCCCATTTTATTTTTTTATTTTGAGGGTCTCACTAAGGTATTTAGGGCCTTACTAAATTGCTGAGACTAGCCTCGAACTTGTGAGCCTCCTATCTTAACCTCCCAAGTTGCTGGGATTATGGAAATGCACCATCACATCTTGTTCTCTGTTTTTAAAGAAGAAATATTTGCATTTATTATCACATTAATTAAAAAATCTAAAATATTACTGACATACATTTTGGGGACTGTTACAAACAACCTCAATAATCAATCACTTTCAATCATCTCTGTCTTTTTTAACCTGTTTTGTCAGATTTATACCATCTCTCTTTCTTTTTTTGGTACCTGGAATTGAATCCAGGGGTGCTTAACCACTGAGCCATTTGTCTAGCCTTTTTTTAAATATATATTTTATTTAGAGATAGGGTCTATCTGAGTTGCTTAGGGCCTCCCTAAATTCCTGAGGCTGGCTTTGAATTCACAACCCT